AAATAAATATCACACCCTTGGAGCAAGACTGCCAAAACTCAAAAATTAAAGTTTTGAGGAAATACAACTAAAAGATAGAACCTGCTCCCAAATGGTTAACTTTAACTTTTAAACTTTAATTCCAATACTTTGCAATTATTTTCGTTACTCGCTTGTTTTTTTTAAGAAATGCGTTGGTTGGGTCAGCTCATGCTTGACCAGACACGAGAGAGGGGGGGCAAATACCCTCTCCGCCTTCACCCTAATGTATTAGATTAGCTGTAATTATTAGATTTAAGTTGCAATTAAATATAGTAACGTAGCTAATGAGGATGTACAAGAGAAATAATCAACATACATTTGAAAAGTTCCACAAAATGGAACTTGATGGCTATTTTGAAAACAGTTGTAACGGTATTTTATGTTATTCCCACAAATTGGAATTGTTTACTTGTTCTCTATCCTTTTTTTTTTCATCTATTAAATTACGGTAAAGAGAATTTTGATATGATTTGCCATTACATGAAAAATGAAGTGTAGATACTAAATTTTACAATTTGCCCGTTAAATATATTTTGACCCAAGACGTATAGTTTTTTTTGTGTATCGTCAAAAAAAAAAAAGACTTACTTCCAAAGTATAGTTCAATAACAGCTGTCAACAAATGCCACCGGTTGATAATAAATAGTAAATAATTATAGTAATGCATTAATATGCAAAAGACAAAAAAAATAATAGTCATATATTATTACGCAAGAGAAAAAAAAATGAGACCATTTTTATTTTATTTTTTTTTTTACGATTTAATAAGCATAAATTAAAATAGCTTACAGTGCGACGAGGTGTACTAGCATAATGGACATGTGGATGTTCTGTAGAGGGTCTGGAATGAAGATGATCTGTAGATGATTGTTTGGAGAGCCAATATTAATAATGAATAATAAATTCCACGGAGGCTTGAAGTTTCTTCAGTGACAGTCTACGCTCCAAAACAGGTCAAGCGGAGACCACTTAAACTTGTTTGTGGGTTTTTAATTGGCGTATTGGTTGAGTACTAAATTGTATTATACTAAATTATATAACTTTTTCTACTACTTTTTTCGGCACCGAAATCCTCGGGATCAAAGATAACAGATCGAGAGTAACAAAAATAAAAATTTACCATTAGCAATCCTAATATAGTTTATTTAATATAGTATTAACTCAAAATGAACAAGTTCATACATATATAACGGTTGTCAAAAGTCTTTTGTCGACAGTCTGTTGATGCACTGATGTATTAGTGTCGCGCACGGTAAACCTTCCGGTCTTACTTAACCGAAAAACAAATAATAATCACATTTGACAACTTAAAAATCCATCGTGTGATAACAAATAATATGATCTCGTATATATCTGACGAGGCAACCTAAAAAAAATAAAAGCTCAAGCTCATGGCCATCGTCCAAAAAATAAAGTATAACATTAACCTCTTCTATAACATTATTCACAGCTTCGATTTTCATTTAGTTATTAAATTATATCATTCTTATACTATGTCATTCGTTTGAGTTAGTATGCTGTGTTGTATTGGTAACCCGAATAAATGGGCAGCTCGCTTTATGTTATTTATTAGTTAAATTGTTTATAAAAGTCAACAAATTGAATAAAACTCATATTCAGTTTTTGCGGATAAACCGTAATTTATTTTTTTTACAATTGTTTAACTCATAGGGTTATATATTTAAACTTACTATGAAATAGTTTAAGTTGGTCTAGCTGTGACATTATAACCGATAAACGTTTCGGAATACTATTAACGCCATTGTTTCGGTTAGGTGAATTTGTGATAATTATGGACGTGTCCTCAAAAATTGTAAGTAATATAAACAAACTCCTAAAACAGAGGTTCATAACAAACGCATTGAATAGTACAAAAAATCTGTGTACATAGACTGTTATTATGAATTTGTATGTGTATTATTATTTTTACTCATATGTTATTCCATATCGGTACGATTTAAGGTAAATAATACACTAGCGCATTTTATACAACGCAAGTTCAATGTATAAAAAAAAATCTAACACATTATCAATAGGTAACCCAAAATTGGGCCTCTGATTATAGAATTCCGTACACGTTGAAAAAAAAATCGTTCTGTTCTTGAAAATTGTTCTAGATACATAAAATGAAATATTATAAAATTTTGTTTACGAAATAGAACAAAAACAAAAGGAAAAAAATGGGTTGCCCCTGAATTAATTCCGAATAGGCCACCGAACGTGCGCCTCGCTGTTTCGTTTGGTGTCCGCAGTGCGTTGGACAGGGTGACGGAAAGAGTGAGCAAGGAAAAGGAAACAATTTATGCAAGGGAAACAGGATGATTCAGTTTAAATTCGGGACCGGGAGTCCCTGCGGTCGGTTCGGTCTGGTGCAATGACCACAGGGCACAAATTACAAAGTTTTATTTAATTTTAAGTTAAATTTAAATTTAATGAGGCTTTCACTTGAGTAAGGAGTGTTGTCATTTCTTCATTGGTTAGTTTGTGATAACCGACAGACCTAATAATCAATGACTTGGTAGATTTCACCCCTGCCTCCCATAGCCCCCCCCCCAAAAAAAATGGGGAGAGGTAGGGATTGAAGTACTAACATATATTTTGTTTGGCAAAATAATTATGTGTGGCTTCTTGAAACGGTTTTGACTGTGTAAATTGTTCTAGTGGATTTAATAAACGAGCAGCTCCTACAAAGTTCGTTCCGCAATCTAAGTGTCCAGTATTTCAAAAAAACCTAACCATTTAGGAGCTAGTTTCTCTTTACTGGTTTTTTCCTGAACTAAGGAACTAACTAACTTCTGTCACCTATATGTAAAGTGGGATTGATCGTAGGAAGTTTTAGATTTTTGCTTCTTTTTCTAGCGAGGTTATGAGTTTCTTGCATGTTTTTCTTCAATTCAAATTGATAGTCTGTATAATTGTACTGAGGCTTTGGATCTCGGGTAAATGATGTTGGGACTTGAGCTTTATATCCGTAAAGAAGTTCATATGGCTGGAACCTTGTGGCGGAATGAGTCGTTGAGTTGTAGATGAACATAGCAAACGGAACATATGAATCCCAGTTTAACTGGTCTTTATCGACGAAATGTCGAAGATATTTGTCTAAAGTCCTATGACTTCTCTTGAGACTGACATTGCTTTGTGTTCTGTAAGGAGTGGTATATGTTTTCTTTACCTTCAGTAACCGACATGTTTCTTTGAAGACATCGCTAAAATATTCTGTGCCACAACCGGTAACGAGGTTCTGAGGAATTCCGTGAAGACCTATGAATTTGGTAACGAAATGATATGCCACAGTGTTAGCTTCATGATTTTCCATGGGGATGGCCCATGAAAATTTCGTGAGGTCATCTTGTAATGTTAAGATGTAAGCATTGTTGAGATGAGTACGGAGAAGGGGACCGACGGAGTCCATAAATACTTTTTCAAAGGGCTTTGAGGATGTAGTGGTGATGACCATCAGAGCCTTAACATGACGATTGCTAATTTTGTTTTTCTGGCACGAGGTACATTTCCTAAAGAAGTCAGCTACGTCTTGATTCGTACCGATCCGTGAGTGCTGTTTCTTTAATCGACGGATGGTTCGTGATATGCCTTGATGACCACCTAATGGATTCAAAAGATATTCTTGGATAATCTGAAACTTCTCTTCTGTAGAATACTCGTCCAGAGAATAAAGACTAATGTGAATATTAGAGTCTCTAAAAACATAATTGATGATAGATCGTACATTTATCCAGTCTAATCTATCGTAGCCACATCCTATTTTAGGTAAAGCTAACTTTTCTAGTTGATGTACATCACAAAACTCCCGAAGGTTTTGTAGAGCCTTGAAAACAGTATCGTAATTTGGTTTTTGCCAGAATTTTTCTTTTGTCAAGATGTAGAGAATAAATCAATTAGAATGTTTGAGGGAGGCAATTTCTATGATATTTTTATTCTGTTTCCTTAAGAAAGATAATTTTCTATATTTTTGACGAAATTCCAAAGCGTTTCCTTTGGATAATTTGAAATCTTTGGACACACAATGTGCCAAATGATAGTCTGGATACGTCGAAAAAGGGAGTATTGGAACTTGGCCCTTTTTTACGGTTGGTTTTTTGTTGGAGTGCATGAAATGATGCATGAAACAATTATGATAGGCTGTTATAGGCGTATAAGGATTGAAGATAAAATTTTTCTAAATATTCGAAAATGTAGTTAAATATGTACCTAAAAATTTAGGGGAAAAAAAACTCTCAAAATATTCATAATTTCAGATAAAATGAGTGTCTTACGTTAGTTGGATCACCCTGTATACCCCTGGTATAGATATTGTTAATTTATTTAAGTCCCATTTTTCTAACTCATATAAATCAATTACTATAAAAAAAAATAACATTTATAATAGTAACCAGCTTGATAATTCTTTATTATGTCTCAACTCTGTATGTATCTTTAAAATTGAAGTTAAAAAGCAGAAAAAAGAAAAGTCTACATCAATTTCTTAGCTATTAAGACTGAGTGATTTAACCAGTGTGACCGAAATAAGGTAAGGTTTAAGAAGGGTGACTATATAGCCCTCGAAATTCATTCAAGCCATTTCAAATTTGGAACAACCAAGTTCATCATTATAAGAGTACCGTATTTTTATTGGTATTTTGGAGCGTTAAAATACGATTTTAAAGCAATATTTAATTTTACCAATAACAAGTTTAAATAAAATATAATAATCTATTTTCCTGAAAAAATGGACCTATTTGTTATATATTATTGTAGGAGTTGATATTTGAATAATCTTAAAAGAGGCCATAAGTAGGGTGCAATATAATGTTCAACTTTGTTTTCAAAATATATTAGTTGCTTACAGTATACAACAAATACGCCCAAGCCTCAACTAAACAAGTAATACAGTAATGTACATAAGCTATTATAAAAAAAACAAAATGTGTTTTTATGATTCACTAAGCCTTAAAACTAATTCAGTAACGTACATTCAACCACTTGCGAATGATCCATCCTAAATAATTTAGTGGTACATTTTTTTTTGTTCAACTTAATCATGAACAAGCGACATAGTATTTTGGCTATTTGGTTCTTCGTTGTTTTTGTAATCCAAGGTAATACAAATTGAATTTTTATTTTTTTTGCTGATAAACATATCGTACATTGACAGCTAAAGACATAACTAACAATGCAAAAAATAACAACGAAATCCGTCGTTGTTTAACAACAAGATAAGTAAAAAAAACTATGGTACATTAAAAAAATGAGCTATTTTATGAGTTTATCCACAAAAAAACTATTTTTTAAGTACATTTGTTTTTTTAACGAATGCATCATAATTTTGCCTAATTTATTACCATTTAATAGTTTGAATTAATTTTTTATTTTAATTTAGCTTTAGGAATTTTGCAAAAGCTGTAAAATTGGGCCTCTGCTGAAGTTTATATTTATTAAAAAAAAAACACTTGTTCTGTATATGAAATGTAACATATTTATTTATTCAATAACATGCACAATAGTACAATAGCATACTAAAAAAACAAAATAGCCATATAGAAAACAATAATAACTTCTAGAATATTATAACATTTAATAGTAGTTATCATAATATTTTACTTTGTAAGACAAAATTACAGTTGTACAGCTTTGGTGTATAAAATAATACTTATATTGTACTTATATTTTTCCAATAAAATAAAATTATGTTTTCTCATTACAGTATAGTTTAGTATATGCATATAAGGCCAATATTTTACCACAATATCAAATAAAAAAAATAAAAGTAATAAAAAAAAAAGCATTTTGCAAAAAAAGCCAAATTGGGCCCCTAATAATAATACTTGTTAGTTATTAGTGTTCTAATAAGTGTCTCAAATTACTAGTAGATTAAGATATTTTTCTCCTAACATCTTGTTTGCCACCTTTAAAGTCAGTATAGCGCTACAAACATACAACATTAATCAAACTAAACTTGGTTTTTTATAAAATACATTTAAATGTATTAAAAAAAATTACTTATCTAGTTATTTTAATAGCGTTAATTTATGATTTAAAAGCAATATTCATTTTTACCAATAACAAGTTTAAATAATATATAATAATCTTTTTTTTTTTTGCTGAAGTATAATATAAAACACTACGATTCGCGTTCGAGCTTGAATTTATATTTTTTTTTTTATTATTTTACGCACAAACTTTGTAGTTTGCTGTTACTTATTTTTGTATATTTTATGTGCCTGTAGATAATAAACAAAAGAATAAGAATATATTTAGTAAATATTTAATGCCAAAATTTACTCTTACACGCACAAAACTTAGGAACAGCTGCAAAAACCGTAATTCTGTATTACTGCTTTTGCAACTGTTTGTCAATATAGCTAAATATTTTTATTATATTCAGAACAATTGGTAATATAATCGTTATAACCAAATACCTGCGTACAACTCAATTGCAAGTGTGTGTAGATTTGTTGTAATGTTAAAAATAAACTATTTACGTGATTTATGTTACACAATAAAACGACATTAACAACAACCAGATGTACCGTTTGTGAAGTACATTATCCAACCAACAAAAAAACACTTAGTTAACTCAGTGTAAATGGTCGCTAAGTAAAAATAAGTGTTTCGACATAAGCCTAAAAATTCGTGATATTATATAGGAACTAAGTATTTACCATAATGTTATATATGTATTATACATCGTAGCCAACAAATGAACATTTGTCCACATATTAAACCAGTAATGAAAACATTTAAATTAAATTTACTTGGCCGGAGCAAAAATTAACACTATATTGCACCCTACTTTAGGCCTCTTTTCTAGGTTATTCAAATAGAATTGGGTGAGACGCTTGAAGAGTGGACAGAAACGCTTGAAGGGAAAGGACTGAGGATTAGTAGGAGTAAAACGAAGATAATCGTGTTTGATTTTAGTGAAAGTTATAAGGTAAGGCTGGTTAAAGTACTTAGGAGTGGTGGTACAAAAAAATGTTGGGTCGAGGAGAATGTGAGAAATACAATAAATTGTGGATGGATGGAGTTGAGGAGAGGGTCGAGTGTTTTGTGTGACAAGAGGAGACCTACTAGATTAAAAGGTAATCTTTATAGGTTGACAGTGAGGCCCGCAATGCTATATGGCTTGGGGAATGTTGAATAGTAGATAAAAAAACTGATGAATATCTCATATGATCAATTCTGTTCAGCCGTTCATTCACAAAAGGTGGCAACATTTATAGTTAAATGTACATCCGTTTAATGGGATTGCGATGCTTCGTGTATACTATACACAGCGGTTGACGCTACGCTATTTTTTTACTTAGTTCTGCGCCACTACCGTGACGATAGACTTATGAAAAATAATTTTGTAATGTTCTCTTCGGTAACCAATTAGTATTATAATTTCAATATGTTGCAGTGTTTCATACGTATGATCCAACAGTTAACTATGAAATATTTCTCGAGATGGAAAATAGTAAATACGCAGAAATAACTGGACAAAAAATTGATGAACTCATAAATCTTGGAGAGCAAACTGAAAACTTTCCGAACATGAACCGTACGTCCGTTGCTTTTAATTTCTTAAACGTTTTGTTGTGTGTGTTGATGTTTCGGTTTATAATAAAGTTATTTATATTGTGTAGTTTGCTTTTATAGTTATTACTGCTAAAGAAAATTAAACACTGATAACGTTATTTTTATCAGTTGAGATATTAATATTTTTGTCTCCATTTCAATAGGTAAAGAATATATCGTGTTTTTTCATGCTGCACACTTCGATGTGGTAAAAGCTCATGCCATGATAGTCCAACATTATGCGCTTAGAACCGAAATGCCAGAAATATTTAACCGTGACAATACAGATCCAGAATTAAGCGAGTTGGACCAAGCTAAACGCGTCATGTAAGCAACAATAATTTAAAAAATGTATAAATGCGGTAATAATACTGACGAAAACGTTTTACTAGTAAAATTTGAGCCACAATCTTAGTATTTGTTTTCAAAATCTTTGGATGTATATTTAACTTTGACTCTGATCACATATTTTAAATAACATTATATATTCCAACAATTTTGTTGATAGATGTTTTAGGTATAGTTGCAATAACTGTATTATGTATACATGTAAATACTTTAACATGTTATTTTGTTCTTCAGGAGTCATTCGATATTGTTTAGCGATTCGTATCAGACAACACGTGGCCATGTTGGGTATCGTTACGTATACTTCCGTTTCATAGATAAAGATCCTGCACATTTTGTATTCATCCATCAAGTCAGATACTTTTTCTACATGATAAAATGTATGCTTATAGAATACGGAACGTTTGACGGTCTTGTAGTGATCGTGAACGGAGAAGGTTTCAAACTTTGGCACTTTTTAAAATTCAACCTTCGTCTACTCCTTCCTTTAAAGAAACTCATACAAGTACTTGCAATATTGATATTATACTCTAACAAAACACTAAAAAATATCTTAAGTAATTGTTATGATCAATATGTGCCAAGCCAAGTTCCATCAAGCATGCCAATGTACCATTACATGAACCAATTCACCTGGTTATTCTCACACTGATATCTATGCTTACTTTTATGATAAGCTTTTGAAATTTAAATATAGATTAAGCTTAGTTCTAAGTTGCTTAAGCCAATGTAAAAAAAATGGACCCCTTAATATTAAACCTTTACAAAGGGGTAGAATTTTTAATTTTGCATTTTTCTTCCTGACTGGGGCAATCACTTGTCGTCAAAATTATAAGGTACATCCTTTATGGGTAGAAACGTGAAATTTGGGACAAAGGTAGGTCATATAGTTTGAGTGGTCTAGTCTGCTTTATGCCTCGTTCAGAAACTGGCCAAGTGTTAAGCTAAACAAATAAAAGAGCAGTGTGGCTCACGAAAGTAGGAGTGAAGTGAGGTTATAGACCAAAGAAAGAGTAGGCTTGGCTACAATGTATCATTACTTTTATAGGCTGACTTTTTTAAAAAGGGAGTATTGGAACTTGGCCGTTTTTTACGGTTGGGTTTTTGTTAGAGTGCATGAAACAATTATAATTGGCTGTTCTAAAAAATCGCATCATAATATGATTTTTTGTACATTATAATTTTATTTTATTAGGATGCACCACCGACGCGGATAAAAAATATTTACATTTTAAATACAAATCGTTTTATGAAATGGGCATATAATATAGCCAAGCCATATTTATCTCCAGATCTTGTTCAAAAGGTATAAGCTTTAAAATAGCAATTAAATGAAAGTCTCATTTTTAATAATTATATCGTAGGTTTGAATAATGTAATATATCTTTTACGGTAGATTGTGCTTTGCCTTCAAGATTCAAATGCTGTTTACAATGGTGTCGATGGTGTTCCCAGGACAATTATGCCTATAAATGGATATAAGAATGGATTAGGACCGAATTATGAAGTCCAAGCCTGTAACTATTATGATGACTAATAATTATTTAAATATTTAATACTTAACATGAAATATTTTTTTTTGCAGCGACAACATATGCACTTATGGAAAGATTTCACAATCGTTATGGGCCGAATACTGATGATAGAGCACATGAAATACGCGTTATGTGATATATTAAATTATATACTTATTCATATTTAAATAAAAAATTACAGTAATTAATATTGTTAATAAAACCACCTCCAATTAGTTAATCAATTTAAATAACACAATGATCATAATAATATGTTAATTAGTATCAGTGTCTTTTTTTAGAAAGGAAACTACCTCAAGTATAGATATTGTTAATTTATTTAAGTCACTTTTTTCTAACTCATATAAATCAATTACATGAAACAGTAATAACATTAATAATAGTAACAAACTTGATAATTTTTTATTATGTTTTAACTTAGTATGTGTCTCTAAAATGTATGTTATTTATGAATTTTCATCTATTATTGTCAGTTAACCATCAGTTCATGATGGCATCTCTACAAGATGTTTTGATGACTTATTTAATAAAGATAAGTATTTTCCCTCATAAATGGAAATTTTCCTTTTTAACTAAAACTTCTGGATAACTGAAACGACCTTTACCAATGTTGAAATGAGAGTCACATGTCGTTAAATATCAATGAATTGGCTGTGTTATCTTATTTTCTTTTAAAAATAGAAGTTACTTTTTGATTATACGTTAAAACATTTAAATTTAACGTGAAAAGATAGTATTTACTATTTAGGACCTACATTTTTTTTCGATTGTTCCAAATATCTTGTTGATCACATAAGAAATAAATATTTCATGAAAATATGATTATTAAAACATTTGAGTAAGGATTCAGATGACGAGTCAGCTCTTCAAATTGTATACTTCTTATTGTTCGGTCTCAATTTGATTGTACTTCCTTCATTTAAATACACTGATAATTTCACCCAAAGCCAAAATTTATCTATTGTTCTGAATAAACTTTTTATCTTATAAACACCACATTGAAAGAATTCATCTTCTCAATACGATATTACTTGTAGCCATTTTAAATAAAAACCTCAAAAAATAATAATTTTATTATATGTACATTATTTAAAAAAAAAACACAAGTACAATTCAAGTAGTTTTGGGCATAATGGTCAAGGTATAATTTTTAACTTGTACATTTTTTCTACAAGTAAAAGACATTTTGTATCTAAAAGTCAAAAGACACGAATTTAGAACTAAAAGTCTTACAAAATAATGCCTACTTAGAATGATCGGGGTTTCATGTTGTAAAAATAATTTAGCCGATTGACCTTTTTTAGGTTATTGTGGAAGATGATTTTTGTAAGCTGTTTTGTTTACTTAAAAAAGTTAGTGATATTAATAATAAAATTTTGAGGAATTTGAAAAATTCAGAGAGGACTCAAACACAATTTTATTTAAAATATTAAAAATCCATTACCACAATAACCTAGAAAAAAAGAGGCCAAATGTTGGGTGCAACACAATTTCAGATAGTGTATACACTTATTGATGTTTGCTGGATTTTGTGCAAAAATACACACACATCTGTACAACATTGTTTTTGAAATATTTTAGCTGTTTTATAGAATATGAAAAATACGTCTAAAGCTCAACTAGAAAACTATTACAGTAATGTACATTTAACCACCTGCGTATGATCTAACCGTAATAGTTTAGTGATACAATTTTGTTTTGGTCAATTTAATCATGAACAAGCGACTAAGTTCTCTGGCCATTGGGTTTTTCGTGATGTGCGTATTTCAAGGTAAAACAAATTAATTGTACATGTTTTTTTAGTTATCAAATTTATACACTATTCATAGTGATAAAACAACAAGCAAGTTGGTTTGGAGGAAATAATTAAATAGTTAAGAAGTTTTTTTTAAATTTATTTATTTAAGCTTTGTCAACTTTGTCCATTAACTTATTCGTTCCCATCCGATATTTGTTCCTGAACAAATAAACTTATTTTAAGAAAAGCATGGGGATATTAAAATTGGACTGTTACAACTTAACATCACTTAAATTATTACTACTATTTAATATAACTCCTTAAAGAAGTACAAATATTTTCTTGGTTTCGCTTTTTTTATGTGCAGTACAGAACTAAATTCCGGAAATGAAAACTAAAAGAACATCTGCTGTGACCTCATTACAATAACATAGCCTATGTATCATAAAAAAAAAATAACGAACAAAAAACAACTGAATATTTTACTTTAAAACGTATATTATACCTTCTAAACTAAGCAATAGGCAATAATGGAAAAAACAAAATCTGTTTTTATGATTCACACCTGTCATATAAAAAGGCCAGTACAGTAGGGTCGGACATAGTGGGGGAGGAGAGTTCACAAATCTTGAAAAATTACTACACATATTTTAGGCATATGCTAGACTTGTTTTCCAACTCTAACATTCTAATATTCCGTCTAAAACACACACAACTTTGAAACCCTCTCCTCCTTGGATTTGTCGATGAAGGAATGTATTTTTCCACTCCAACCAGAGTACTATCTGAGTATGATTTCGGATCTACAGGTGTGCTAATTGAGTAAATCAGTTGACAGGAAATAAGTTATCGTGACTCCAGCCACAAAAAAAAAATCTTTATAAAACCAATACCATCCCAGCTATCGCATCGATGTTCAAAATATACTTATCCAGCTATAAACTATTTACGTGACTTAGTAATACACATTTAATATAGTTATTGCAGGGTTTCGAACATATGATCCAAATATTAGCTTGGAAACAGTTATTAAAGAGGAGCAAGGAAAATATCCTAAAATAACTGAAGAAAACATTAATGCAGTTATAAAGCTTGGAAAGGAAAAAGCAGGCTTTCCGGATATAAACCGTACGTCTGTTGCTATTAATTTCATAATATTTATGTTTGTTTGTATTGGTAACACTGATGTCGTAATTTTTGTCAGTTCTTATATTAATTATTTTTTCGAATTTAATAGCTAAAGAAATTATCTATTTTTTTCACGCTGCACACTTTGACGTGGAAAAAACTATTGAAATGGTAGTCAAACATTATAAAATTCGGGAACAATTACCAACTATATTTAACATTGATGGTAAAGATCCAGAGAAATCCGAGTTAGAAGAAGTTAAAAAAGTCGTGTAAGCAACTTAAATTTAAATATACATTTATATGGTATAAATACTACCTATAACCATGCATACTGTTTTGTATTTTATATATTAAAAATTAGGTACACGTTTTACAAATTATTATACGATTTTCGTTCCCATACTGTTTCTAAATTTCACTGTGCCCAGTAATATAAATAATTACACTCACTCCAAACATCCTATTCACGTTTTAGTATAAAATATATTTATTTAAAAGTGATTTCATCATAAATAAACATTCCTTAACAGTTTTTTTATCCATAATTAGAAAATGATAATATATTATGATATTGCTATTCTTTAGGAGCTGTTCTATATTGCATAACGATTCGTTCGAGACCGATGGAATGCATTACATATACACGGATTTCGTTAATAAAAGAGCATTCAAGTTTGATTTCGTCAAGACTGTTAGATACTTTTTCTACATGATAAAATGTTTGCTCATACAGTATGGAACATTTGAAGGTGTTACATTTGTCATAAACGCAAAACACTTCTCGTTTACACATTATTTGATAATCGCGCGTCATTACAAACTATTCTCAGCTTTATCAAAACTCTTGCACGTACGTACAATGTCAACTCAATATAGTCTAACAAAGGACTCTAAAAAATACAATTTTAAGTATCCAGTATAAGTATGTACAAACAGAGTGTAATGTAAAGTTCTACCGAGCTTCAAATAAGACATTCAGGATGCTCTATGAGCCCTATAAATGGTACTCATTTTTTTTTTGCTTAAAGATTACCTAAAATAGAACTCGTATCTCATTAAAAAATTGTCTTACGAAAAAAATAATTTCAGATTTAAAATCGAGACAAAAAATCTTGCTGAATTGATATGTAACATAATTTTTTGGTATCTGGCCACACACGTCCACGAGGTTGCCACCGAGTGGTCGCTGAGTGGCCGGCATATGACTAAAACCAACATATGAAATGTGACACATCATTTAGTATAAAACAATTCTAAGGGAACCACTGAATTGAGGAAAAAATTCTAACCCAAAATGATGTGTCGCATGCCATATTATGTTGGTTTTTCGTCACATGCCGGCCACTAGGTGGCCACCCAATGGACGTACGTGTGGCCAGATGCCGAAAAATCATGTTACATATCAATTCAACAAGATTTTTTCTCCTTATTTCAAATCTGAAATTATTTTTTTCGTAAAACCTTTTTTTAATAAGATACGAGTTTTATTTTAAATAATTTTTAAATTAAAAAAAAAACGAATACCATTTATTATACCCATAGAGCATCCTGAATGTCTCATTTGAAGCTCGGTAGAACCTTAAACTACACCCTGTATATATGAATAAAAAATAAAAACCCATTTTTCTGATTTTTTAAGGAGGCCCTACCGTTCCGGTTAAAGAAAACTTACGTGTTGTATGCAAGTAGAACGGTTATAAAATTTCATGAATTTTCCAGGAAGCATCGAGAGAAGGCAGTTGAGAGCACGGTAAGCTATGTATTAGCAAATAAATGAAAGTTTGTATAATTAATAAGTATATTATCATAAAATATATGTCTAATGTAATATTGCGGTAGGTTGTGTTTTACGGTGAAGAACCGCAAGAAGTGTACAAGCATGTTCCTCAAACAATTATGCCTAATGATGGATATTTAAACGGCGAAGGGCAGAGTTATATAGACCAAGCCGGTAACTATTAAGATGTCATATTATTATTTGAAATTCTCTAGAAATTTAATGCTTATAATGAAATATTTTGTTTTGCAGCAAAAACATATGCCCTTATGGAAAAGTTACACCATCAGGATGAACCGAGTTCTATTCAGGATAACCCGAATAATGTGGACTAAATATATTTTAATTTGTTTTTATTCGTATTTAAATTAAAATTGGTAGAAATTAATTGTGTTAATAGTACCATCTCTCTAACAGTTAACCAACTTAAATAGTATAATGTTTATAACGATAATGATAAGTAAGTAAAAATTACTATAGACTACAAATTATATTCATAAAGTAAATGTAAAGTAAAGCAAAATTAAAAATATATTATTTATTGTACTCTTAAATGATAATTTTTTTTTAAGATTACACAAATCTAGTAAAAAAAAGGTTATCACATTATTAATCATTAAATATTTTATGTTCATATCCTT